CACTTCCACCTACTCAGCTCATATAAGATGATTCCAATAAAAGATTTTATACACACACACACACACACACACACACACACACCTCGGGGTTGAACTGTGGAGTCCTTGGTGCTCTCTGAGCTTGGTTGTTTACTTGCAAACATTTCATTACCTGACATCATCAGTACTAGTGAGTGTGGGATTTGCTCCCTTTTTATATACAGTAGCTTGCCTTGCCAGTGTTGGTGGGGGAGTGGGTTTCTCCTTGGTAGTTCCTTGATTAGGGTATTGTTTTCTGCTTGTTTGTTTGGTGTTAATCCCAGCTTATCTGGGTGTTGACTGCTGGAGAGGATGTGTTCTGCTCTCTCTTAGCTTTTTTTATTGTCTCTTTTGAATGGCGTGTAAATGTGGTTTATCTTTATGTGTCTATTGATGGCTGATTTGTCTCAAGCTTCCAGGAATTCCCTAGCATTTTTGGATTTAGCTTGGTCTAGGATGCTCAGTTTCCCAGTTGAAACTATGGCTGACTCTGTCCATGTGTTGTGAGTTAAGGAGTTTTGTCATGTCTTCTGACTGCTAGTTGGTATTCATGGATGTGCTTTGCTAGCCTTCTGCCTGTCTGTCCTACATAGTGGGTGTTACAGTCCTTACACTATATGTTGTAGGTGACTCCTGTTTTTTCTTCTTGGGCTATTGGGTCTTTTGGTTTTACTTAAGATGTCTGGAGGGCTTTAGTTGGTTTATGTGCTACCATGATGCCATGTGGTTCTATTAGTCTCTTGGTTGTTTCTGAGATGTTTCTGATGTATGGCAGTGTGATTCTTTTCATAGCTTGTGTTGCTTGTGGTGTAGTCATATAAGTTGTGCTGTAGTCATATAATATCATATAAGATGTTATATTCATGAGCCATAGGTCCACAACCTAGCTGTAAGAGTTCACGTATGGAATGCCATACTTTCACAGTCTTGAATTATTCTTATTATACAGAATAATACATTACTGTTTCTGCATAACACAAGTAGAATTTGTATTATGATTCCCTCCTTCTGGTGTGTACAGAAGTTTTATTTTCAAGTAATTAACATTTTGAACAAAGCTTACTGAAAATGTTGACTAATTGTTTCTGCTGGAAGGATTGCTTGGAAGGACTGCAAAAGGAAGGAAATTTTGTTTCTAATATAATCACTCATTGAAGGTTTAATAAAGAATTGATAATGCTAGTTGCTGTATTTTCATTTTATTTTAAAATTGTGTGCCTTCTCTTACCATTAACCATGTAACTGAAGACTTTGGCCATTCACATTGATAAAAATACCTGCCTGGAAACACAAGTAAGACAGCTGGTACAAAAGGCGAATCAGCAGCAAAGTAAACTGGATCTGAGAACACTACTGGACACCATTGATAACCTAAAGCAGAAAGTTGCTTTTCTGGAATCATATGATCAACGTCTAGGTATTATGGGACTTATTTTCTCATAGATCTGGTTGGTAGCCCCAAGTAGAAGTTAGTAAAGAGGATCAGGGGAATCAGCTCTCAAACATTTGCTTATTAGTCAGAGACAGTTCCCAGTTCTTGAAGCATTTTGTAGGGCATTCATTTCCTCAGTTTTTGTTGTCCGATTGTGGAATATTGATTTGTCTGTGGATAAGGGATCCATTTTTGTGCATCTTAACACCAAAGATGAAAGCCAAAATGGGTTGCACCAATTTCTTTACAGAATAATTTGTATACTAGTTAACTATTTACTAATTCACTTAAATGTACACGTTTGGGATCAGCCCAACCTAATCAAGAGTTTTGTTTAGGGGAAAACTGAAGGAGGGAGTGCTAGGTATTCTTTTACTCTTTTGCTCCTGTAGGAGAACTGGGATAGACAGCTAATAAATAAGACACCCCACCCCACCGCCACTCAATTTCCATATGGTGTGAAAAGGTAAATAAATAAAAAGCAAGAGCAAACAACCTTTTTATGACTAAGAGCAGCACTTTTTTTTTCTTTTTGGTGATTGAGCCACAGGGCAGTAATAATGTCACTGTTTTTCATTTCCTGCCCTAAAGACCCCCTAATGTCTTCCCCTTGATCATTCATCCTTGTTTTTCTCTATGTGGTAGAAACACTAATGCTAGGAACTCTGAGTTGTTATGGCTAGTTAGTGGCCTACTGACCATCTGCTTTCAACATGTTTCCTTTGGAATTTAAAAATTGCTTGGTTTGTGTGTTATCTGGACACAACCACTGCAGTTTTAACCCACAGCTAACCATTTTCTGTAAGTTCAGTCATTTATTTGATTATTTATTTAAACAATTTATATGGCCACCCATTTTGCTTCTGTGACTCTGGATGTCTAACAAAATATGGTTTATTCAGTAAATAAAATTAAGTAAACTATGGCTTAACACAATCTGATAATCTTGTATTTGAGTTTATCTTTACTGGTTTTTTTTTCACTAAATATGGATGGGATTGTGCTCTACAACTTAAGAAAGTTTTTGAAGAAAAAGCCAACTTTAAGTTGCAGAACACAGTTGTATCTGTATGTAATTAAAGATTACAAGCTAACTTACTACCAATTCTAAGTACAGAGTTAGTTCCAATCAACAGAGTAGGTTGGGTCTCAAGAAAAGTAAATGTTCTTTATATAGAAAATTGTCAGTGATGGATTCTGAATAACCAGTATAAACAGTGAGATGTTAATTTGGAACATTTTATGTTGAGGCAATACAAATGCTGATGTCCAATTCCGTATGTCATTCCCACAACCAAAAAAACAACAACCCCACAAAGAGCAAATCCTGAAATGTGTGCTCTTTCTCCTCTAGTTGTTCTTGAAGACTTGGCCACCCAACATGATGCTCTCTTCAGAATGCACAGGGCACAACTTAACAAAAACGAAGAACGGTTCAAGATTTTGGAAGGAGCAAGTTACAATGGAAAACTGATCTGGAAAATTATGGACTACAAGATTAAGAAGAAAGAGGCTATAGAAGGGCACAGCCTCTCCATATTTAGCCAACCTTTTTATACCAGTCGCTGTGGATATAGGTTGTCTGCCAGAGCATATCTAAATGGAGATGGCTTAGGACGGGGAACTCATGTTTCATTGTATTTTGTAGTGATGAGAGGAGAATTTGATTCATTATTACCATGGCCTTTCAAGCAAAAGGTTACACTTATGCTTCTGGACCAAAGTGGGAAAAAAAACCATATATGTGAAACTTTCAAAGCCGATCCTAACAGCAGCAGCTTCAAAAGGCCAGAAGGAGAGATGAACGTTGCTTCTGGGAGTCCTCGGTTTGTTGCACACTCTGTGTTGGAAAATGCAAAGAACACCTACATCAAAGACGATACGCTCTTTCTGAAAGTAATGGTAGATTTAACTGATCTTGAAGAATTATGAGAATACCAGTTATAAAACATTAGAATTAACACTTTTATGATCTCTGGATTCTTTCAGACCTGTGAAAGCTGCTTTGCAGTCTACCAACATTTTTTTATACAATTTGAAAGACAGTTCTATTTTTGTACTTTTTCAATGTTGTATTAATAAAACATGTTAAGGCTCAGAGTGAATTATAAATGTCTAGCAAAATTTGATATTGTGATTATTTTTTGTATATTTGAAAATTCTGAACTGAATTACTATTTCTAGGTGCTTCTGGAGTAGGATGCTATGGAACCTAAACCCACTGGTTCCATATCCTTTATTACTGTTTGAGTTTAATAACTCAGAAAGCTTTCGTTGATTGATTGATTATGTGGCATCAAGTCAGTGTTGATTCTTAGGGACCACATACATAGACCTTCTCTAGGGCAATCGGTGCCCAACCTGGTTCTTCAGGTCTCCCAATGATGCACCCATTGCTGCTGTAATTGAGGCCACCCAGCTTGCTGGCGATTGTCCTCTTTTCTTCCACTTTTCCAAGCATTATGGACTTCTCAAGGAAGCTGGATCTTCATATATGGTCCAAAATGCAGTATTTTGAGCCTGGTGATTTGTCCCTTTAGTGAGAACTCTGGGTTGATTTGGTCTATGATCCATTTGTTAGCTTTCTTGACTATTTGTGATATTTTCAGGAGTCTTCTCCAACACCAAAGTTCAAAGTGTTAATATTCTATCTGGTGTCTTCAAAGTCCAACTTTCGCTTCCATTGACTGTTACAGGGAAAACCACTGTCTGCATGATTCTGATCTTTGTCAATTCTAAGACTGGTTGCTCTACCTATTGTCATCAATTTGGTCGTCTTTATATTTAATCTTAGTCCATTTTTTTCACTGTACTTCTTGACTTTAATTACTAGAGCTTGCAGATAACTTGCATGTTCAGGTACCAGAGTAATGTCATCGGCATAGTGCAAGTTATGAACATTTCTTCCTCCACCTTTAAAATCATGTCTTTTTCCAATCCAGTGCCCTGCAATATATAATCAGCATATAGGTTGAATAAATAAGGAGCCTCGTCTCACTCCTTTGCCAACCTGGAGCCAGTCTGTTTCACCATGTTCCATCCACACTGTAGCTTCTTGTCCTGTATAAAGGTTTCCCAATGAGATGTACTGGTTGACACAATGAAAGGCCTTTTAATAATCAATGAAGCACATATTCACTTCTTTTTGGTGTTCTTTGGTCTTAATTATCCAAGGTGCATCAGCAATAATGTCTCTTGTTCCTCACCCTTTTGTAAAGCCAGGTTGAACATCTGGTATTTCCCTTTCCATGTAGAGCTCTGAGTTGGATGACCCTATGCATTATTTTGCTAGCATGTGAAATTCAGGTTATTGTGCAATAGATTACATACTCTGTTAAGTCTCCCTTCTATATACTCTGTTAAGTCTCCATTCTTTGGTATTGGTATGTAGACTGACCTCTTCCAGTTTGTTGGCCACTATGTTGTTCTCCAGATTTGCTGGCATAGTTTTAACCTTTACAGATTCTTCTTCAGTTGTTTGCTGTATTTCTGTACATATTCCATAAATTCCTGTTTGGTAATGACTGGAGTGCTGATCTAACTTTTTTTTCTAGAATTAGAGATGACGATGATGATGATTTAAATTTATATGCCACCCAACTCCCAGCACCCAATTGCTATAGAGAATATATCTTCTAAAGTATCTCAGATGTTGACATCCCTACTGTACAGAATTTCAATATACTCCTTCCAGGTTTGATCTTCTATGAATCAGTAACTATCTGTCTATTGGCATCCTTTAGTATACCAATTCAAATCTGGAACCTTTTTCTGAATTCAGAGACCTTTTTGGAAGACTTTCCTTGTTTTTCTGTGTCTGTATCCATTTTCAACATCTTTACAGATGTCATTCCACTGCTTTTTTTTAAATAACTCTCTGAAATTCTTTATTAAGTTCCTTCTTGAGATCTTTGTTTCCTGTTCTCTTACTGGCAATTTCCATTGTCTGTTCTGACATCCAGTTTGGTTTCTCTGGTTTCTTAGTCTTTGGCAGTCTTGTTTCACATTCATTCTTTCTTTGATTTTATTCTGTAGTTCCTCTGGTTCACTATCAATGAGGACTCCAAAGCAATTCCTGATGTTCCCCTTGAAAATTGTGGTGCTATGCCCAAATCATTTCATGAAAACTGGTTGGCTTTTTTTTTTCCTGCTTTAGCTTGACTTAAACTTTTATGTGACTAGTTTGTGATATGTTCCATAGTCAAAACCTGGCCACATCTTTGCTGCTATAACTGAGCTCTTCCACGTCCTTGCACCAATAATATAGTCAACTTGATTTTTGCGTACTCATCTAGTGATGTCTATGTGTATAGGTATCATTTTGATTATTTAAATAATGTCTTAGGAATGAAGAAAGCACTGATTGGCAGAAACTGTTAAGTTGTTCTCCTGCTTCATTTTGCTTTCCTAGGCTATGCAACCAAACTGTTTTCCTTCTATTTACAACTTTTCATTCCAGTCTCAAATCACAAGTAGCACATCTTGCTGAGATGTTCTTGTTGATTTCAGACTGAACTCGACTGTAAACCCCATCAACCTCCTTTTCTTCCGCATCAGTGTTGAAGCATAAGCTTCAATAATCATCATATTAAAGGACTGTCATGTAGTCTAATATTCAAGAAATAAACTTTTATTTAAAATGTTTACTGCTAATAACCCTTTCCTTTGAATCCCATTAAGTTGTATTTTGTACATATTGGAAGGAAAGTACTAATAACTGCTGACCACTTTTGTGTTACAGGGAAAGGAAATGAGTTCTGTGCAAATTAAAGATCTTAGTAATACAAGACAGTGTTTTACAAATGTTTTCTATTATTTCATATAAGTACAGTTATAACGTTATCCTAAAATGTAGAGCATGATGGCTCCATACATTCGGACATTAATATATGTTAAGTGAAAAAACATGTGAAGGGGAGGTTTTAGGTGAAATTAGTAAGACTCATACTCGCTATGGAAAATAAAGGGCAATGGGTTTATTTTTATAATGTGTAAAACAGTAAGAGAATATGAAATGTAAGATGAAAAAATGTGACAAAAGATATATTTATTGAAAAATTTACAGTAATATTTCACTGAATTCTCTACCTGCTTGTGACCAATTGACATCTAGACTAACTAGGACAGGAGTATTACTGGAGTATCTTACTCCAAAAGTTTTTGTTAGAAACGTTTAACAAATAAATAGGAAGTTGGCATGCTGCAAAGCACCAACCCCTATAATAATTCATTATTATTTTGGACAGTGCCACTTGCATAAATGCTTTATCTGTATGTGTGTCCACCTGCACAAAAAAAAAAAATCTAAAATAAATTGGGGAGGAACAGATAACATCTAAGGACATAAGAGAGTTTATTACAGATATTCTGTTATGAATGCCAGCTCTCCTCTAGTGGTTTTCTGATTTCTGTAGATGGCATATAATAGATAAAAGACGAGGAGAAGAAAAATGGATATATTTTTCTAGAATGTCTCTAGAATGCAGGTATGTAAAAAG